CGACCCCTGAAGTTGTGACTTCTGAAGATCGCCCATGTGTAGATTCACTCGGTTGAAAAATGTAATTGTAAAATTGAAAGTTTTGTAATTTACACATCTGAAATTAAAGGTACAGTAGTTTTTTAAAAAGTATTTGAATAGCTAAAATCACTGTCATTATTAATAAATATGATCTCATTGGTGTAAAATTAGCTCTGCCAATGTTCTGACGGGTAAGTCCATGGTGGCCTCCATGTCGTTCCGCCATCTTGAAAAAAACTATAATAGCGGAGAGGTACAAAAAGCACTAGGCTACCTCAACGCGTTTCTACAACACGTTTTCGTTCAGAGCCGGCTGACTGAAACCATCTGAAAGGGGCACAAGGAGGTCAGTGAGAGGCGCTTGTCACTCCCCCGGCAAATTTGAAAGATTGCACGGCACTTCATAATACAATCCCATAATAAAGCTTAAAAAACATTATTTAAAGTGAAACGTGTCCGGCAAATTCAAAACTAGGGTAAATATCGGGATAGCTTTTCCCAGGTGGATAGAGCTAATGAAGGAGAAGTTGCCTGCTTTCTTCTCGACAGGTAAGTCAATGTTACGGTCTAAATTACAAGCTTTTTCATTCCGTGGTTGTGCAATTCATTAAATAGGCAGCATAGCGGTAGAACGTGTATAGTTAAACTCGATGAAGTGATATTGGATGACATGTCGTAGCTTCTTGGCACATAACGGTTACCGTAGTTGCAACACGCATTTGAAAAAGCGTGGCGCTAGAGAGCACTATGCGTTTGAATCGAGGAGGTCAAAGGGGGCATGCTTTCTGCTATAGTCTCATCAGCTCTCCCCAAAGTCTGTTCATGCGGCCAACAGACAGCCTGTCGCATCAACAAATGCTAGCATTTGAAAATTCTACATATATTTTGAGTAGATAACCGATAGTATATTCTCAGTGAAGGGTTTCACCCTGTGTGCTTCCACAATGAATAAGGATAGTTTGAGAGATGCAAGAAAAGTAATATGATATATCTTATACGTACAATAGGTCATAGCTACAGCAGAAAAAGTAAGATCATACTTTGAATTAAGACGAGTAAAATTAAAATATTCGCTCAAGACAAACTTTACTTATGCAGCGTCTCTGAAAATGTGTGGTGATTTTCTAAATGATACAACTTAATCTAAATAAGAGCAATGTAGAGTCCTGGGATTTCTTTTAAAACAAAAACATTGTGACAAACTTTGACAACATGTTTCATGTCGCATGCTATTTGAAATAAGATCTAAGATGCCAAAGGACAGTTCTTGATTTATAAAATTTTTATTTGATTTTTGAACAAACGATGTTTAGTAAAAATAATAGCTTTATGCAAATCATTTATATCATACAGAAGTCTTCTAAGAAGATAAATAGAAGATATGATTTTAAAACAGAAAAGATTTGATTTAGACAGTCTTTTAATTTTAAAAGATCTAATTTAAACTTTTAAGATTATACTTTTAAATGAATTTAATTTGAATAAACCTATGAAAAGCAGACTAGCATTGCGTACGCTGTGACATAATTGTGCCCCAGAGGCTCATCTGGCCTGTAACTCCTCCGTCTCTGTGCGGGTCTGAAGCTTCATCTCACCCTGTAGCTTATCACTGAAGGATCTGGGAGGGCTTTGTTTGTTTATCACAACTTAAACTATTTACTTTTTGAATTGTTTTTTATCATTGCATAGATCTAGATTCTACTACTTCTTCAGTTCTATGAAAATGTAAGGAGTTTTTTTTTATAATTATAGATGTAATTTATATATATATTTATATTTATATTATAAATATATTAATTAAGATAAAACTATGTTTAATTTGTATGAATACATTTTAGTAGCATATGTGTTATTATTCATTGAGTTATATACTTTATTTATAATAATTTAATTTTAAAATAGAGATTTTATGGAGCCGCAAAACACCGATATATAGAAATTATATTAAATTACTTATTTTTATTTATTTTGAAAATGTAAAAATGCAGCTTTCAGGTGTACACGGTAGAATATGCTGTTACAGTACAAAAATTATTATGGCTATATTAATAAAAATTATACTTTAGGTCACCGTTAAACAAAATCCTTACAGTAATCTTCTAAAAGATAAATAGAAGATACGAATGTATTAAAACTATAAAGATTTCATTTAAACCATCTTTTCATTTTAAAATATTTAAACTTTTACGATTATGATTTGAAATAATCTTAGTACGAACAAAATTTTTGCTCTGGAAAGGTGTTAGCAGACTAACATTACACGATGCACAGAGACTCATCTGCTCTGTCACCCTCTATCCTGAAGCTAATGGGGGCTGGCCTGAGGCATCACAGATTCTAAATGTCTTCATTGGTGCTGTCGCACTAAAGATAGGCCTATGTGGTGATTTTCGCACAGATACTACTTGAGGAATTATTGAACATTTCACACAATGTGTGAGATGACTTGTGAGAGCCCCAAATTTCAAAGTTCTTTACATGTACCCTGATAAATAAAAAATATAGTCAAGTTTTTCCACGATGTAGCATATTTGTTTTATGAATTAATTTAATTTAAAATATCTTGTATTTTTAAAAGATATAATTTAAACTTTTAATGATTATACTATGAAATAAGATTAACACTAATCGAACACATGCAATGTCTCGTTCTGACCGCTGAAAAGACACACACACACACACACACACACACTTACTTGTGGGATCTTTTCAACTTTAAATGTATGGACATTAGGAACTACTTTGTCAACCGGCTGAAAAAGTAAGATGGTTTTATTTTTTGTCACCCCGTTAGCAACCTGTATGTTTTCTACAGCTCTCTGAACATGTAAGATCAGTAAATTTAGTTATTTATTTAAAAAATGAACGATAAAAGCATTTTATTAATATACTTTTAAATGAAGAATGTTGTTCAACTTAAGTTAGTGTGAAATAATATATTTGTAAATTACTAGATGTAAATTTTAACCATTTTCATTTATATAGAGCATGATGTTTTTCAACTTTAGTGTGAAATATATGATACATATTGTGCTCACTTGGAGGGGTATCATGTAACACACACACAAACACACACACGCACACACACACAGATAAGCGCGCGCCCGGGCCCCTCTGACTTAGAGGTTTTCAGGATTCAGAGAGGTCTAAAGTAATTTATTGCCGATGAGATCACCCATTTCTTACACATACACACATAGACACACACACACACCACTCCGGTCAAGCGTGGGGGAGAGAGAATCACTGGGGGACAACTTTAAACTCATCTTTTACATCTTTTGTAAACCATTCATATTGTATGGACATCTTAGGAACTACTTCTTCAACTCGGTGAAAAAGTAAGATGGTTTTATTTTGTGAACCGTTAGCAACCTGTATGTTTTCTTCTAATCTATAAAACATGCCGGATGATTTTTATCTAAAATAATTGGATCAGTACATTTAGTTATTTATTTTACAATGAATGAGAAAAGCATTTTATTTATTTGTTTATCTAAAATAATTGGTTTGGTGTGAAATATTTGTAATTTCATTTATATCAATTGAAAGAACTGAATGGTTTCAACTCTAGCCAGTGTGAGATATTTTCTCACTGTCCCAGCAAGAGTGCAGGAATGGGATGGACTCTCACTCACTCACTCACTCACACACACACACACACACACGCACATACATAGAAGACTAAAAGGTGCTGGTCAGCCACAGACTCGCTGTGAGAGAGAAAACAATCTGGGATCTTTTCATGTTTAAACTCATCTTTTACATCTTTGTTAAACCATTCATATTGTATGGACATCTTAGGAACTACTTCTTCAACTTGGTGAAAAAAGTAAGATGATTTTATTTTGTGAACCGTTAGCAACCTGTATGTTTTCTTCTAATCTATAAAACATGTCGGATGATTTTTATCTAAAATAATTGGATCAGCACATTTTAGTTATTTATTTTACAATGAACGATAAAAGCATTTTATTTATATACTTTTAAATGAACAATGTTGTTCAACTTTAGTTAGTGCACGATATTTTCTCACTTTCACACCCCCGCAAATGTATACCCCCTGCTTCAGGAATGCGGAGGGTATCATGTAACACACACACACACAGATGCAGATGCTTAGTGCGGTGACCATGGCTGTCATGAAAAAAGGCCGGTGAGCAAGAGAGTCACTCGGAGGAACATCTTTGGGGAACGTCTGATAAAGTAAGATGATTTTATTTATTGCACACCGCTTCAATGTTTTATTCTATAATACCTCCGGATCAAAGACAGCTGTCATACCCACATCAAAGACAACTGGCAACTTGACGTATAATAGAAGGGTCAATAGGGCAAAGACAACTGTCAAAAATAAATGATTATACACCCACAGATCAAAGACAACCGGCATATCCAGATCAAAGACAACTGTCAAAAATAAATGATTATACAACCACATCAAAGACACCCGGCATAACCCAGATCAAAGACAACTGTCAACTTGATCGATCGATAGGTCAAAGGGTCATCCCTAGATCAAAGCGACCTCCGGGACACACTCCGGAAGGTCAAAGGTTAGCCCCGCCCACCTGTCAATCATAGGGTAATAAATCATCTTGACACAATGTCCGGGGTATTACTACTCGTCTACTATGCCCACCACTTATCTTCTAGCCCAACTCTTGTGATGAAGGTAAACACACTGAATCGTTCATAGACAATGAACCATCCTGACTGTCAGGCTCATCCTTTAATTTGTGTAAATAAACAACTTTACATCAGAATGAAAATATTCAGTAAATTAAATCAAACAGGTCAACATGAACTCAACTTGATGTAACTATATTATTCCCAAATCTTACTTTATTTTGAAATTAGTCTACAATTGATTTAGATGACAAAGCATGTTGATTGATAGTGATACTTTGACGTTTTGCATTTGTGTATCATAAGTCAGTTTTGTGAAGATTGTAATACAGCTGAATGTCTTTGAGCAGGCTTGTGCTGTTAAGAATTCGACTCCTGTATGTCCTACTGAAGCTGTGAGTCCAGACACTCTGAGGGAAATTGTCAGTGACACCAAGAGCATCTCAGTCATTGCTGCAAAACGCCGCTCACACCTTCTAGTAAAGGAGTCCAATTCCAGGGTGGCTGGTGTGAGTTTGGCCGCAGGACTCAAGTCTTCGGTGAGCATGGACAGTTTAGTTTCTACTTTGGCAGATGAGTCCGCAGAGGTCAAAAGAAACCCTCCAAGACATAGAGGCAGTTCCCAATCGAAGCAGGACTCAAAGAGAACAGAAGGCAGAATGGAGCTGCCTGAGAAACAACAGCGCAAGAAGCGGTCCAGATCTTTTGAAGCAAGCAAAAGGGTATGAGCACATCTGTTGTTTCAGTGATTTTTGGTTAGGCTAAATATGTACACTACTGTTTGGGGTCAGTAAGATTTTGTGTGGTTTTTTTAAGAATTTAACATTTTTATTCAGCAAGGACACATCAAATTGATCAAAAGTGGCAATAAAGACTTTTATAATATAATTACTAAAGATTTCTGTTTCAAATGAATGCTCTTCTTTTGAACTTTCTATTTATCAAAGAGACTTTGGAAAAAAATATTTCATGGTTTCCACAAAAATATCGAGCAGCAGAATTGTTTTCAGCATTGACAATAATAAGAAATGTTTCTTGAGCACCAAATCAGCATATTAGAATGATTTCTGAACCCCCTTTCGCCTTCAGAACTGCCTTAATTCTACGTGGCATTGGTTCAACAAGGTGCTGAAAGCATTCTTTAGAAATGTTGGCCCATATTGATAGGATAGCATCTTGCAGTTGATGGAGATTTGTGGGATGCACATCCAGGGCACGAAGCTCCCGTTCCACCACATCCCAAAGATGCTCTATTGGGTTGAGATCTGGTGACTGTGGGGGCCATTTTAGTACAGTGAACTCATTGTCATGTTCAAGAAACCAATTTGAAATGATTCGAGCTTTGTGACATGTTGCATTATCCTGCTGGAAGTAGCCATCAGAGGATGGGTACATGGTGGCCATAAAGGGATGGACATGGTCAGAAACAATGCTCAGGTAGGCCGTGGCATTTAAACGATGCCCAATTGGCACTAAGGGGCCTAAAGTGTGCCAAGAAAACATCCCCCACACCATTACACCACCACCACCAGCCTGCACAGTGGTAACAAGGCATGATGGATCCATGTTCTCATTCTGTTTACGCCAAATTCTGACTCTACCATCTGAATGTCTCAACAGAAATCGAGACTCATCAGACCAGGCAACATTTTTCCAGTCTTCAACTGTCCAATTTTGGTGAGCTCTTGCAAATTGTAGCCTCTTTTTCCTATTTGTAGTGGAGATGAGTGGTACCCGGTGGGGTCTTCTGCTGTTGTAGCCGATCCGCCTCAAGGTTGTGCGTGTTGTGGCTTCACAAATGCTTTGCTGCATACCTCGGTTGTAACGAGTGGTTATTTCAATCAAAGTTGCTCTTCTGTCACCTTGAATCAGTCGGCCCATTCTCCTCTGACCTCTAGCATCAACAAGGCATTTTCGCCCACAGGACTGCCGCATACTGGATGTTTTTCCCTTTTCACACCATTCTTTGTAAACCCTAGAAATGGTTGTGCATGAAAATCCCAGTAACTGAGCAGATTGTGAAATACTCAGACCGGCCCGTCTGGCACCAACAACCATGCCACGCTCAAAATTGCTAAAATCACCTTTCTTTCCCATTCTGACATTCAGTTTGGAGTTCAGGAGATTGTCTTGACCAGGACCACACCCCTAAATGCATTGAAGCAACTGCCATGTGATTGGTTGATTAGATAATTGCATTAATGAGAAATTGAACAGGTTTGCAATGTATTAAAACAGAAAACAGTTTTTTAAAATTATAATAATATTTAACATTTTTACTGTGTTTTTGATCAAACAAGTTCAGCCTCTGTGAGTATAAGGGTGTATTCACACCTGCCTTGTTTGGTTCGATTGAATCAAACTCTAGTTCGTTTCCCCCCTTGGTGCGGACCTTTTGGGCTGGTGTGAATACAGCAATCGAACTCGGGTGCGGACCAAACAACCGAACCGAGACCCAGCTAAAGAGGTGGTCTCAGTACGGTTCCAAACGAACTCTGGTACGGTTCGTTTACGGTGTGAACATGAACCGACCCAATTGCAAGAAAGCACTGAGCCTTTGAGTTAACAGCCTTCCGTAGTCGGAGTTGCGTAATGGGAAAGTGATCTGTTGTAGCCTACTACATTACATCTGTTGCGCGTCTTTCTGCGCGTCGTGTGTGCATCATTGTAATGGAATGAATGAATGAGTGTGTGCATCAGGACATTCACATACAGAGCGTTCTCTTTAGTCTAATCGCGCATAGATGCAAAAAAAAATACATTTGCAGTTCATATAATGTAACGATAGTTACAATACAAGGATGATGCTGCGTTAATTTACGTTAAGCCTTTTTTGCACTTCCTGATTTCCCTACTTGAGAATCCTTGTCCAATGAATGGACGACCTTAGCACAGGTGTGGTTTTGTTTACAAATTTTTGTTCACTTGCAAAAAGAGCAGTGTGAAAGCGAACCGTACAAAAAAAAATAATAATAACCTATTTATTTGTTCCGGACCAAAGCAAGTGAACTATCGGACTTTCCTGGTGTGAATACACCTTAAGAGACTTCTTTCAACTTCTTTTACTGACCCTAAACGTTTGCACGGTAGTGTGGGGTATGTAAAAAAATATTTTTAAATAGTGCAGTTTTCAAATTTGGCATTTTATTATTTTTATTACTTCACTGTATAGTCATTAGCTGTCTTTAAATCATTCTGATGTGAGGTAAATTATTTCATTTAAATATATATTTCTTTTTTGTTCTTTGTCTAATTTCACATACACTTTTCATCATTTCAGACAAACTATCACTTTTACAGTGTGCTTTTGCTTTTTATTTTAATTGGTACGCACGGCAAGTGATAACCTAATAATTACATTGAGAAAATAAGTTTCTATGTAAATATAGATGCAAAAATTGGCAATTTCAGGTGGCACTCTCAAAGAAGGTGCCTTAATTTGATCTGTTTTTATCACAGCATGTACAAAAACCAAGACAAAACCCTTCCAGATATCCAGCTTTGGAGAGCATCTCCGACAACCGCCTTGTGCGACCAGCAATAAACATGATCCAGCAACTCAACGGTGGTGCTGGAAACCCTGCGACACCCCCAGTAGCTAAAATGAAGAATCCCGTCTCTCACTTTCCAGGTACAGAACTACAACTACTTGTTTTTTCAAAGTCAAGCAAAATTGAGATTCAGGCTAGCGTTTGGATCTCTGTTAGAAAATGCAGACCATAAAGGGATTTCATTGAGTTTTTCCGGCTTTTTAATATGGATATACCAAAATCAGCTTGTTGCTCTCGTGTGACTGTGAAACAGGCCTAAAAATGAGCACGTCATTTTGTCAATTTGAATTTAGGAGAAGTGCTGCTTCAGAAGTTAGAGATCAGGGGAACACCACCCAGCACCATCCATCAAAAACACTCCAATGTCAAACGAGGACATGCAATCTACAAACAACAGCGAGGTGAGATTTTTTTTCTTGGTATTCAACAACATGTTTCCTTTGTTTTTAATTGTGAAATGAAGTTGTCAGGCTGTGATTGATTTTGTAGAAGTTAATAAAAATGTTTTTAGGCCCAGGGGATGTTTCTTACCCCAGCAATCTTCTACAGCAACCAGGCAATTACAAGAAGTCCACTATTGAAAATCCTAGACCAAAAGGAACGGCCGATGTCAACAGAATGAATGAGGCACGGCAAAAAAACAAACATACTGTAAAAAGGTCATATATTTGAGTTTCTGGTTCTTAAACAAGAGAAGGTTTTTTTTTTGCACTACAATGTACAGCTGAGACTGTTGCGAATTGATGTTATTTTCATTTTATTATAGCTTTTCTCAGAAAATCTTATAATTCGAAAAAACAATTTTTGAGATATTAATTTGAGAGATTTTATACGGTTTACAGAATACATACTCATTTTTTGATAAATCACATTTGAAGGAAATTTATTTAGAGAAAATCATAGAAAAAAAAATGCAAATAAGCTTGGAAATAAAGCATGATTCAGAATGGCTTCTTTTTTCTCTGTATTGAGTCAGCTGCTTAAACAAAATAAATTATTAATTGTGATTAATTGATTGTTTTATAATAAAAATGTAATTATATAAAAAATTGTGTGAAAGCCTATATTTGTTTCTCCAGTGGGGATCATCCCTGTAATAACTACCATGAGTCACTTTGGAAATATCAACTAAATGAAAAATTAACATTGGCACACACTAATGGCTGGTCAAGCTCAGTGAAAATAGGTGTGTCTGGTGTTGAACAGCATTGATAATATAGCCAACCATGATAATATAGCCATATATGATAGGGCTAGACAAGGAACAAGGTTTAAAGTAAATCCATGAGATTTGTGGATCCATTGCATTTCACTCTCTTAAAAAACTGTGTTTATTTTAGCATTTAGCACCTGTCAAGTTGATATTATGTTGATATGTACAAAAAATCAACCGGGACGTCCCGATTTTTGGGCCTGATTTTTTTGTCCCGATCGGCATCTCTCTTGTCCCGATTATTGAGTGCTGCGCTGATCTGACTGATACAACAGCAACACGACACGTAAATTAGTTCAAATCTCCTAGAATCTAGAGCTGCGCATGCGAGACAGAACATAGCCTACTGTATGTGCGTCAGCGCCAAACCGTGTAGCGCGGAGAGAGCGAGAGAGAGAGAGGGAGAGAGCGAGAGACCTTGCCTGCGAGATCATTTTCTCACACAAACCGATCGTTTCGTGTCTTAGGCCATCAATGTGTACTTACATTTACGAGTCATTAAATCATGTTCAATTTGGACTTCTCTGTGCATGCTCTTTGAGGAAGTTACCATAGACCTGCATTATATGACTGACAGACAAGAAACGGTTTGACCTAAAAATATCAAAATTGAAACTACTGCGGAAACAAAGACACCTACATCTTGGATGCCCTTGAGGTAAGCTAAAACATACCAAAAATTAATTCCAAAGTGAACTATCCCTTTAAGACAAATAAGATGACATTAACATCAAGATGACATCAAGAAATGAAAGGTTAAATAAAAATTGATGGTCAAAGAAAAGGAAAAATCACTGACAGAATATAAATAACATGAATTATGAAAATAAATGAAAGTGTAAATAAAAGAAAATTAAATGGGGTTTTTAATCAAATATAAAGTAATAAATCAATCATTTGTAACAATCAAGAGTAATATCTCTGTGTGTAGATTGTGTCTGTGTCCCTTCTCCTGCACATAAAAACAATCCCTCTGAAATCCCACGAGAGGCCACTCGATCTCAGGGGTTCAGCTATTTTTATAACCTAGTACACGGGTAAACCTTTGAATTTATTTTGAAATGAAATAACTAGTAAAAGGTATTTTGTTTTTGGTCATATTTTTTGTCATTTCTGGAGTTGACTCTGCAAGCGTGTTGGTTTATTTTCAGCTGTGGTTTCCTGTGAATGGTTGTGGTAGTTTTAGCTGAACCCTCTGGAAAAACAGCATATGATTTAGTTCTGGCTGAAAGGCGGAGTGTTTCTCTCCTGCGTTCACAGTCACACCCTAGTGTGAGTTTACATATGCAACTTCAAGCATTCCTGCCCTCTTCAAAGTTTTCATGTGGAACATTCTGAAATATAGAGCACACGAGGACAAAATATGGGTGAGTGATGGATCATCTTTTGTGGGAGAAATTTTGAATTGAAACTTCAACATGAATGTCCTAAATGTTTATGTTTTTCTCCAGAAGTCCCAACTTGACTCATTCCAGAGATGATAATGATATGCATTCAAGTCGGGATCTGTTACAGACTTGTTTTCAGTGAAAATGCTGAGGAAGCTCCAGTGTTTCCTTCTGCTGGGAACAGTATTCATCATATTCTTCGCAATACTTCACTGGGATGACGTGAGAGATGGGACTTTTTATCTGCACGTGGCATCATCATCATCATTACCTAAAGTCCCCACAAGCATGACGTCCTCTGAACGTAGAACAAGTGAAGATTCATTTATCTGGAAACAGTCAAGCAGGTCAGTGAAACCAAACCTGACGATCATCACACCTCACCTAAAACATGATCAGGGTCCAAACAACCTAATGCACACATTCATGCAGACTTCTCCCACACAACTCAAACTGCGTCAAGCACATCGTAGACGTAATATAAGAGAACTTTGCTCAGCCAATAGTAGCTTGAACTTCCCAGGGAAATTTAAGACATTTGACCAGATTCCAAGAAAAGCCCTGGACCATCTCATTGTGGATGATCATCATGGTGTTATTTACTGTTTTGTACCGAAGGTAGCATGTACGAACTGGAAACGAGTCATGATTGTGCTCAGCCAGAACCTGAAGGCACCTAATGGAGCTCCATATCTGGATCCTCTTGACATACCATCAGCATTATCCCACAATGCTACTCTGCATCTGACGTTTAACAAGTTTTGGAGACTCTTTGGTCGTTTCTCACGTCCATTGATGCATCACAAACTAAAGAATTACACTAAGTTCCTTTTTGTACGGGATCCTTTTGTACGCCTTATTTCTGCTTTCCGGAACAAATTTGCTTTGCCAAATGAGGAGTTCTATAGGCAGTATGCCTCCACAATGCTTCAGCGTTATGCTAATATTTCATCCCCCCCTGACTCTGCTCAAGAGGCCTTCGCCGCAGGTATCAGACTGTCCTTTACTCACTTTATTCAGTACCTGTTAGATCCACAGACTGAGAAAGTAAAACCATTCAATGAACACTGGCAGCAGATGAACAGACTCTGCCATCCGTGCCAAATTGACTATGATTTTGTTGGGAAGCTGGAAACTCTTGATGAGGATACAGAACATTTGTTGAGGATTCTTGGTCTGGATAATCAGATTCACTTTCCCCCAGGGTACCGCAATAGGACAGCTGTAAACTGGGAGCGAGACTGGTTTGCAAACATTTCAGTAGCTGACAGGAGAAAACTTTACAATCTTTATGAAGCAGACTTTAGATTATTTGGATATGGCAAACCTGAGACTCTTCTGCATAAGTGACATGAGAGTAAAAGGGATTATATAATATAAAATTGTACAGATACTTAAACATAATTCTAATTTGTTTGACTAAAACCTTGATATTTGTTGTTAAATTGTTGATGTTTTGTATTGCTTTGCTCATTGATTAGGTTTTCATGTTGCCCTCATAGAAAATTTCAGTAATATTTCATTGTTCGTACAAACACTGTTGCATGTACATGTAGTGAAATTCTGGTTGGTGAAATTTAACTGGTTGGAAATGACCAAACCCGTGCATTGATTTGTTTTGGCCACAAGGGTACAGTGTTTCTCAATTGATTTGTTGCAGACAGTGCAATATACTACAGCTATGTGAGCAGCGCTCTGATGAAGTTCTGAAATTTGACAGAAAGTATTAATCTATAAGAGGTGTTAGTGAGGCCAGCTGTGCTCTCCCTGTGGTCTGTGTGGGTCCTAACGCCCCAGTATAGTGACGGGGACACTATACTGTCAAAGAGCACCGTCCTTCGGATGAGACGTTAAACCGAGGCCCTGACTCTCTGTGGTCATTAAAAATCCCAGGATGTCTTTCGAAAGAGTAGGGGTGTAACCCCGGCATCCTGGCCAAATTTGCCCAGTGGCCTCTGTCCATCGTGGCCACCTAATCATCCCTATATACTAATTGGCTTTATCACTCTGTCTCCTCTCCACCAGTAAGCTGGTGTGCGGTGGGCGTTCTGGCGCAATATGGCTGCCGTCGCATCATCCAAGTGGATGCTGCACATTGGTGGTGGTTGAGGAGATCCCCCCTTCTATGTGAAGCGCTTTGAGTGCCTAGAAAAGCGCTATATAAATGTAATGAATTATTATTATTATTATTAATCTTTGATGCTAAAAAAAGCTAAATTTAGAATTTATGAAAAGAGGCCTATTTGACAGCTCTCCTAGGAATATGGAAATATTCCAGTGGAATATGTGAAATAGGGGCTCCTGTTTGAAAAAAAAAAAAAAAGCAGTTGAATATATTACCTTCACTGAAAATCACAAACCTGAAAACCACTTTATTTTACCAGATTTTTTACCAACTTTACCAGATTCCTAAGGCTATGTTCTCATTTGTGATGTTAAAATACTTTTAAACATAATATGTAGATTATAAATTCCGAAAGAGTTTTGGATGGGACTATCTGCTGAAAACCGGTGCGAGTCATTGCTAAATGTTACTATAAAAAGAAATAATAAATGTTATTTTAATAAGTATCAGTAGTTTTATTTGTTGTTATAATCTGTTCTTTAGTTAATTAAGATATGATAAGTAATGGTACTGGGTGTTTTGTTCAGTCATATTCATTACAGGAGATGAAAAGGTCACTGTAAATTCCATCAAGCAAAAAAAAAAACTGTTTTGTCTTGTCCTCTTTCTCCATCTCTCTTTAGTTCTCTATCAAACTGACTATAACTGGATGGTCTACTCTGAAAGGTCAAGGGCGAATTCACCGCCAAGTAAAATCTTCTGAACTACCGTCCTCTTCAGCTTGCTTGCGCTTCTGCTGTATGACAGCTTGAAAGGTTGTGTGGCAGGTCCTTTTAATGTTGTCCCCTCTATGAGATGCTTTTGAGTAAAGGTCAATACTAATGGCCTACTGTAGTCGCCCACAAGAACAGGATGCAAGTACATTTTTGCTTCCTGTGACCCCTGTCCATGCTGACTCATGCCCATTATATCTTACTTTAGTTCAGCACATTCTTTGGTCCCCCTCAAGAGGGATCCTACTTGTTGCTAAAATGTAGATCAGTAAATGAACTGAAAACAGAATAGGCAAAAAAAAAGGGACTTTAGAGAAAGTATGGTTGCACTTTCTATTAACGGTGAACAAAATAGGACCTAAAAAGATACATTGATGTTCTTTTCCAAGGAACTGCTTGACCTTCATCCATCTCAAGAGGTCAAACTATCTAAATAAACTGATATCCCATGACCTTTGTTTTTATATACAGATATTATAATAGACCACTATACCCAAACATCACTTAATGCATTTTTCACACACACACACACACACACACACACACACACACACACACACACACACACACACACACACACACACACACACACACACACACACACACACACACACACACACACACACACACACACACACACACACACACACACACAAAAGAATTATATGGTATATGTACAATTATATTTACCTATCACCTTTCAACGTGATTACGTAATGCCTGCGCATGGCAGCTCGTGCAGAAGACGAGTATGGCTATTTGTGGTTAAAAGGTTAGCTAGCCTATGTTTATTTATTTTAGAAAATGGACGATCGTTTCGCTATTCCTCGGCTGGGATCGTGTAGAGCCCATTGAAGCTGCACTGAAACTGCCATTTTGACCTTCAAACCATTGTACCCTGGTTGTACCCCATTGACCTCAAAAACCTTAATTTATTTTCGACTGAAGAAAGACATGAACACCTTGGATGACGTGAGGGTGAGTAAATTATCAGGAAATTTTAATTCTGAAGTGAACTAATCCTTTAAATCCATTTTTTTTTGGTTAAAATCTCGTAATCACGGTAATTTCAACATGGCGTGAACGCACCTTCAGACTGCGCGCCCACGCTCCTGCTCCGTCATGAGAACTAGCGCCTTGCCTTACGTGTAGTGCGATGAAACATTGATTAAAACGTAATCAAACACTTAAAACAAATGCCATAAGTCATTTGCAAATATAAAGCACAAATAGGCTAAATATTTAATGTGTTAGGAAAAAAGCAGGGCTGTTCTTGGAACCAAACAAAAAAGCCTAAAGGTTTTAACATTTACATATTCGGATAACGTTAGCTCAATTTAAATTAGATTTTCATTTCATGTCTTGCCAAGTACTTTCCTACACAGAGAGCAATAACAGGAACATGTAGCTAGGCTATGTGTGTGGTACAGTGACAATTGTTTCAAATGATATTGTGTAGCTATCTATAGGCTAACTTATAAAAACATTAAATGCTACTATTAGATGAGGAGAATTAAAGAAAATTATGTTTTTCAATATAAAACATTGAAACATATTGATGTTACTTTGTGTCTGTGAGAGGAAGTATTAAATGAGGGTCTTGTTAGTCCAACCTAAAGAGATTTGCTCTTCCTTAAACCATTTAAAGAAACAAGCCACTCAGACCTGATTTCAGGGCAACTAAATGTGCACTGACAGAATCAATACCTTGCTCTTTTACCTCTTCAACATAGTGACGTACATTTCTTGTGCTTTCCTGCTTATGTGTCAGCAACAGTTATAGAACAAGTGTGCTTTGTGTGCCTCAGGGCCTTTCCTTTTTTCTATAAAGCATTTTAATTATTTGAAAAACAGGAAGCAGAAATCCCATGGCTAGAAGTAGTGGTGTCCCAAGTAATTTACATAAGCGGCATACATTTATGTTCTTCCACATATAGGCTATATGGGCTAAAATCACACACACACACACACACACACATATCTCATGTCTATATCTCCAGGGCCAGACTGGGACACAATTTCAGACAGAGAAATCTCATAATCATCCAGGCCATCCCATATACCCACAACAGATTTTGGAACCATGGACAACCCTATTTTTTGTATGGCCATCACATAAAAAAGGGTTAAATCCTTAGGCTGTGCAAAATAATGAAAGGTTCTCTCTTGAACTGCACCTTAACTTCCATTTTCCTTCTCTTCATGTTCCCTGATATCTCTCTGTCTCTCTCCCTGTTGTGTGTGTCTGTGTCTGTCACTTCTTCATCAGCAGGTCTACTGCTATGAACAGAAGTTGCTCCACCTTGTTGCAAAACAACCACCTCATTGTAATTTTTTGCACATAACCTAAATGTATTTTAGTTATATTCAAAGTATTACATAGGACAATTGTTGTTGTTGTTGTTGTTGTTTTGGCTTGACAATGCCAACATACTGATTTACTATTTTTAAGCGTATTATTATTCTTCTGAGCCAAAATTTAAACATGCTAGCAACATGCAAATTCATGTTAGTAGTGTGTTAAAACATGCTAATTCATGCTAGCAACGTGCTAAAACATGCAAGCAACATGCTAATTCGAGTTAGCAACATGTTAGTAACATGCTAATTCATGTTAACAACGTGTTAGTAATATGCTAATAAATGTTAAAAAAGTGTTAGAACATGTTAGCAACATGCTAGTTCATGTTAGCAGTAACACCCCATTACTATAGTCACTCTACTATGGTCTAATGCCGCGTTCCAGGCAACCTGTAACCCGTGTTTTTCCAACCTTATACCCGTGAAAGTGCACTGGAACGGCAGTCAAACCCGTGACTTCCCACCCGTGAACTCGTACTAGATCGATGTACTCCCAGTTACGAGTTCTGACGTCACATAGCCCGCAAAACCATACAAAACAACAATGGCAGCCCCTACGGATGCAGTGTTTCTGCAGGCGGTACACAGTGAGAATACACTTTAGGACAATATAACGTTGCAGTCAAATTAATAATAATATAATAATAATGATAATAATACACACAAGATTATGTATTACTATGTTATGTGTCTGAAACAATAAGTATGTATATACACACACGATTATGTATTACAATGTTATGTGTCTGAAAAAATAAGTATGTATATTGCGCTCAGGTAGTTTGGCGTGACTGGCCTGGAATGCTACAAAGTCGTGAGTCGTGGTTTGAAGTCGTGATTTACGTGCTCAAAAACCTGCCTGGAACGCAGCATCAATACTGTATGCTAAAGGACATTATTATTCTATTGTAAAGTTACAGTAGTAATTTAGCAGAGAGATATTTACATACATTAGGTTTGGAGGGAGCTATAGGGCAGACAACAACAAAAATATGAGTCATAATAATGCAATAACATTTTCAGTGTTAGGTTTTTTCTATAAAGATATTGTCATGATGTAGTTTTCATTGTGCTAATTTTGACATTTATAGGCTATTTAAAAAGTTTATATCCCGCAATTCTGACTTTTTTCCCGCAATTGCAAGTTTATATCACGCAATTCTGACTTTTTTCACGAA